TGAAAAGACACAAAAACTCGGAATAATCGGGAGTTAGACGACTCAATGTATTATAAAAATCGGTAAAAAGCGTAGTAATAATATGATATGATTTCTCGTTATCATTCAGCGTCAGGGGAGCCCGAGGACCCGCTAGAGGCATCACCCGAACTGGTCGGCGGGCCCATCCTCGTGGCTTGCGGAGCTCGCACCAGCCTTTTGTTTAATTTCTTGTCCTGAGTCAGTTTCAACAGCCTCTCCCGTCGTTCAACCATGTCGCCTGCAAAGAAGAGTGAAACTCGGGTTAGTTACGAGCAAGCAAAAACAACGAAAGTGAAATAAAACAACAGTAAAAGCAAAAGCAAGAAACCTAGTAGATCTACGGCTTGCCCGTAAGATTGACACTCGACGAGCGCCTTGGTGTCAATGGGACGGGCCTCGAATGTCGGGTACACATCCTCGTCAAGAATATCTTCCCCCTCCCTCGTGACCCATCAGGTAGGGAAGAAGCTGTCGACATACTTGCAAAGGATACCATAGGCTTCTTCGTCCTCGGAGCTCATGCTTCCCGCGGGTGTATGATAGTACCCGGTGCCATGGTCGTAATGGCCCGAGCACCAATGTATCAGGAACTTGGATATGCCCACACTACCAGACGACCCTCGGCGTCCATGAGGGGCTCCCCGTCCTCGTCGACTATCGCAGTTTCCGGTTCGTACAAGGAATCCAAGGCAATCTGGGTGACCGGCTGCAAAACGTACCACTTATCCTTGAAGCCCCGAATCGAATCCATATACATCCTGAATAACCTCTTCGACTGTTTCAGGGATACCCAGCTATGCCTGCCTCCTCGAGACTGACGCTGTAGGTGAAAAACCCTGAAGAAAAGGGGAATCGTTGCCCCGATCCTCAAGAAACAGCATGTCAGCTCGATCGCCCGAAGGAAGGCGATCGAATTAGGGTGAAGCTGCGAAGGGGCCAAGTTCAGATGGCAGAACACCCCAGCTTGGAAATCGCTGAAAGGGAGCTTAAGACCGAGATCCCTAAACATGATCTCGTACATTGGAAACCCATAATCGGTAAACTCCGAGCAGATTCGCGCATCAATGGGCGGCCTCATCACAATAAAATTCTTCTGGAAACCTGGATGACTAACGCCATGCTCGACGACAGTATATACGCGTCGACTACACCGACAGTACGCCGAGGCAATCCCTCAGGGCTCGGCGCCCACCCAGTCTAACAAGGGGTCATTGATAGTATTAACTAAAGTCACGTTCTCTTCGGTACTTTGGTCCTCGACTTCATTTTGCCTCGAAGATTCCGGTTCGTCGGCCATTTACCTGCAAAGCACAGGAAACCGGTGAAATTTGAGAGCAAATCCGCATGCTCGCCACAGCGACGGGAAGTAGTACACGACAAGCCGAACACGGACACCCCAACTCGACCAGGCGTCGGGAACAACAAGGGAATAACGTAAACACCCCGGGCAATAAACATGAATAACTCGAGCAAGGTCCTGACTTCGCCTGCCCGACACTAAGATGCTGCGACGGGCTACCCTACATACTTCCTAAATGGTCAACATCCCGGCCAGCTCATGGGTACGCCGACCAAAACTATGAATGTGACTGGCAGTATCATAGATCATATGCCTAAAACTACGAATGTCGCGGGCAATATCATAGATCATGTGCCTAAAACTATGAAGGTCACGGGAAGTATTGTGAGTCACGTACCTAAAACTATGGGTTTACCGGGCACAATCATGAATCTACCGGGCACTACTCCCAGATGTGGGTTTCTAACATCCAAATAACGTTAAAACTACCTACAAACAAAGAAAAACAGGAGGAATGAACACTTACTTGGAAGAAAAGATGAACGTACGGCAGCAATGGGAGTAATCAACGGAGGACGGTGCGGTGATCTCACGACATTGCAGAAAACGACGGCGGCGGAAGCAGAGGAAGAAGGAGAAGCGCGAAGAAGAAAAACAAATTATGGGCCCCAAGGATCCTATTTATAGGGATGACGTGGAATACGAAACATCGCCCCGGGGAGCCGCGAACTTCCCCTCCCCGACATCTATTCCCCTAGGCAATGATGGCCCTATTGTCGCTAGGGTGGCATCACGATTCCCAAGGATTGCCTCGTGTATGCATAAAACACAGCCCGCGAGGAATTTCCCGAGCACGCGTCGACGAGGATTACGCTACAAACGCAACCCGTGAGAAACTCCTCGAGCACGCATCAAAAAAGAAAAATCTTGGCCCGGGCATCAGATCCCCGTGGTAAAGGCGAGCTGAAGTCAAGTCATAACTCCTGCCCCAGGAGCAATGACTTGGGGGGCTCCTGTTCTGGACTGGGCCCATCCTGGCCCAAAGCGCAGATAAAGACCTAATCTAAGCAGACTCCTCGAGGAATGCGCACCCGCGAATCACCGCTGACATGCCCGCGACACATACTATCCCCGACCAAGGGAACTCCAGCTCGAGTCCTGCTCGAGCACTCTCCCCGTAGGGCAGACTCTGTCCATTCTGACCGTTATCAAGTCCTCTAAACTTTGGAAAGACCGTGTCTCCGTCCCTCCTTATTCTTCGCAGAGCACCACCATGAAGGGGATCACGTGCGGGGCCCCACTACGCACGTAGAACCTGACAGTTCCTTTATTGGGTCAGTTCTGGTCAGCCCAGTGAGGGGACCTTGGACTAGCGCTGGGGGCTATAAATACCCTCTGTTCCCAGAGGGTCAGGTATTCATCTATTACGCACCTACACACTTATTGCCTGCTCATTCCGTCTCTCATTTTAGCATCGAAGTGTCTTGCAGGTACCCCCCATCTCACTCAAATTCTGCCCGAGCCAGTCGTGACGGTCCAAGTCCGTTCAGGTACGATCTGAATTCAAGATTTTTTAAAAGAAAAACATAAACTATTTATTCAATAGTGTCAATGAGTTTTTTTAATCAATTTATAAATTTTAAAATATTTTACAAAATATTTTGAACAAAATATAATAGTTTTACAAAGATAAATTTAATATATATATATATATATATATATATATATATATATATATATATATATATATATATATATATATATATATATATATATATATATATATATATATATATATATATATATATATATATATATATATATATATATATATATATATATATATATATATATATATATATATATATATATATATATATATATTATATTTAATACTCGTGAATCAAATATATGATAGAATAAGTTTTGTATCCTTATCATATTTTATATTCTATTATATTTTTATCATATACTGCATATGTTTAAATTTAAGAGACTGTTATTTTAACATATTTTAAAGAAGATTAGTGTACTTTTATCTTATTTATTTTATTCATAAAAATTTTCAAGTATTTATAAATAGATATAAATTTTAAATATATTTATGAACATGGAAGTGACCATGATAAATTACACCTATCTTATTAGTTTCTCAACTTCATAAAAATATTATATTTATATTATATAAGTGAATTCTATTTTTTTTAATAATATATAAGTTATTTAAATAAATATAATAATTAAAGAAAACATAGATAGACGAGATAACTCATCTAATAACAATATTTATTTATATTCATGTATTGATGTAGACAAGTTAATCACATTCTTTTTAAAAATAAACAAAACCAAATTTATAAATATTTATTTGACTATGTACTCCAAATTTGATTTTATAAAAATATTATATTAGTGAATTATAAAAAATAATTAATTAAATTAATTTTATTGAATAAAGAAAACAATTAATTTAATATTAAACTAAATAAAAATAAAAATTTATAGTTCTTTATTTGACTATATATCAAAATATTATATTTATATTATATAAGTGTATTCAAAAATATAATTAATTAAATTAATTTAATAAAGAATGAAAATAATTAATTCAATATAATAATAAACAAAAAAATAAATAAATATTTATCTATGTATCAAAACATTATATTCATATTATGTACTGGATCCAAAAAATTAATTAAATTAATTTTAATAAACAAAGAAAATAATTAATTTAATAAAAAATAGAGGTGGACGAGGTAGTCCAATTAACATGTAAAAAAATGGTCTCTTTAGAGTCTAGTGGAGAAACACTTAGTCTTGAGAGTTTGTTTCTTTCAAAATCTCAAGTTTGAATCTCATTAATTACAAATTACTTATTAAAATAAATACAAAGAAATAATTTATGGTTCAATTTTTTAATGATAACATTTATTTATATTTATATATCAATATAGAGTTTTTTTTTTAGTAATAATCGTATTTTAAAAAAAATACATAAATAATCATGTTATAGAAAAATTTACGCAAAAGACGACGTTTCAGTAAATATTATAATACAGTAGCCATCTCAGATGATGTACTGATTTTTTTAAAGGAGGCGCAAGTGAGATGGAGCCTAACCATCTCCTAATTTTTTTCCAATATTTTTTATTTAATTTGTGAATCTTCTCGCAGATTTGACTTTTTCTATAGATTTACTTGCGGATTTCCCTTCCGCAGATAATTCTCTTGGAAAATCCGCATGTAATGTCAAATATGCAGGAAAATCTACAGGTAATTGTTTAATTCATTTTTTTAAAACATAATTATTTATGTAATTTTCTCCGAAACATAATTAATTACATAATTTTCTTTAAAATATAATTATTTCTGTTTTTTTTATAACATAGTTAATATTAAAAAACATTCATCAGTATAAATTAATTATTTATTATTAATTTTTTAGAAAAAGTAAATAAAGAAAATAAAAATGAATGAATATTTGTTTGACTTTGTATCATCTATTCAACTAATAGTAATTTTTCTTTAAAAGAAATAAAATACATTGTACCAAAAAAAAAAAATCCTTGAATTTATATTGGGAGCTGGTTTGCTTAGCAAACGCCAACAACGACCAGGCTACCCAACAACATACAGCTTTCCAGTCAAACTTCTCTCTCTCATCCGCCGTTACGAAATGGATGCTGCGCCGCTCTCCGCATCCGCGGCCGCAGGAAATGGAGGAGGACCGGCGCCGTTTCTCCAGAAGACGTATGACATGGTGGACGATTCCACCACTGACGAGATCGTTTCCTGGGGCTCTAACAACTGCAGCTTCATCGTTTGGAACAATACCGAATTCGCTCGCCTTCTCCTCCCAACCTATTTCAAGCACAGCAATTTCTCCAGCTTCATCCGGCAGCTCAACACCTATGTATGTCAACTCTTTCTTCTTTATTCTCCAATTCATTGCATACGCTTCTTTGATTTTTTCTGATTGATTCATTATTCCTTTCACCGTGTTTTTTTTTTTTTAATTTTATTTGATTGCTTTTTGTATCTGTTATATAATTTGATTTGGTTGTTTCTTTAACGAATTTCAATTATCGGATATGGATTATGATGATCGTTATGAGATTGATGGAAAAAAAACTGCTTAGTTAGATAGGAATTGTGAAGACCTTTAAATTTGGATTTCTTGGATTCAATGAAGCATGATACTCTAAAATCTATACCATATCCGAATCCGAGACGTCTGGTTAGCCCGATACTAGGTCGAAACGCTCTGATACGATACGTATCGAAGGTGTATCAAAATTTTTTTATTTAAAAAAATATTCTGATATGGCGGCGACATGTCGCGATATATCAGCGACAAGTCTCCATATGCTGCAGACTATGAAGTACAAACATCTTGAACACGACCTCGACACTGACACGGCGACACTAGTAATAATTTAAAAAAAATGAATAAATAAAAGTAATCACAAGTTGTAGGTGCAAGTGTCTGTCACTGACACGGACACGGACACTGACACACATTTTTTCAGAGGTGTCAGTGCTATATAAGTTGTAAATATGACGAATTAATCTCATGACTATTCATATTTCTAGAACATGAGTCAATCTTTCTTTTCTTTAATTCTTCTTTTCTCAATTTTGAATTACCTCATCACTTTCATTTTACTATTACAAGAATCAAACTTTTCTTTAATTACTTTTCTCTCAACTTTAACTATCTTTTCTTTTTCTTATAATTCATTTATCAATTACTATCAAATTTTGCAATTGATTACTATCAAATTTTGCAAACTCAATTGATTTTTGTTAGAGATTTTTTGTTAAAGAATGATTTAACTAATGTTTAATTTTAATTTTTTTATATACATATCTTAAATGGATTGTATCCTAGATTTTTCAATGACTGACTTATCTCCGTATCAAATACGTATAGTATCTGATATTCATATCGTGTTCGTGCTTCATTGGATATAGTGTATCTAGGGAGAAATTTTAGTTAAGCTTAAAAATGTGAGACTTGAGGATGAAATGAGATGTAGTATAGTTTTAGGCCGTTTGTTTCAAGGATTTAAAAGTAACTTCAAGGAATAAGTTATTTGGAAATATTAATATTGTTGAATTTCAAGTGTTAAAGTGTTAAATTTCTACATTGACTAGGAATGGAGGAAATGTTGGGTTTATAAGAGAGATGACTCATATACTCATTGTCTTATGGTTATGGGTGGATATGGAGTCTCAAGATCTCTTTGATTCCTAACGTTTGACCCGTTGACACTTCTGGGCCTCGTTCTCCGAACTCCTTAACAAGTGGTATCATAACCCTGGTTGGTTCGGTGGGGAGCGGAAGTGGATCCGAGTGTGGATCAAGGCTAGTGATGTGGGTGACTCACATGTGGAGGAGATTGTTGGGTTTCAAGTGTAAAAGCTCTAATGTCCTACATCGACTAGGAATGGAAGAAATGTTGGGTTTATAAGAGAGGTGACCATATCCCCATCGCCTTATGATTTTGGGTGAATATGTGGTGTCAAGGTCTCTTTGATCCCCAGCGTTTGGTCCATTGACAATTCCGGCCTCACTCCCCACTCCCCAACAAGTGGTATCAGAGCCCTGGTTGGCTCGGTAGAGGAGCGAAAGTGGATCCTAGTATGGGTCAAACTCAGTGATGTGGGTGACTCACACTTGTGGGGGTGATGTGGGGGACTCACTTGTGGGGGAGATTGTTGGATTTCAAGCGTGAAAGTGCTAACTCCCACATCGGCTAAGAATGGAGGAAATATTGGGTTTATAATAAGAGAGGTGATCCATACCCCCCATTGCCTTAAGATTTTGGATGATATGTGGCGTCAAGGTCTCTTGGTCTGTGAACGTTTAGCCCATTGACACTTCCGGCGCTCCCGGGACTCCCCCCAACAAATATGGAAGTTTAATTCGCACTTATTTAAAAAAAAGTGTTTGACATATAGTTAGATATTTTTAGAAAAATTGGCAGTTATACTTTTTTTTTAATAAAAAATTATGTAAAACTTCATGAGAATCCACATTGCCATCTTCACATATGGGAATTGAGAACTGTCGAAGTTATTGAAATTAAAGTTATTTAATTTCTAAGAATCTTCATTTTTAGAAACAATTTTTTCTCCACACCTTGTAACCACCAACACGGGTATAACCATTTTCTAACCTTATACTCCTGGAATGTGATTCTTAGACTTGAAACAAATGTCAAAGTATTCAACAAATGTATTCCCAGAGTGCCACAAACGTTCAGGAAAGTGTCATGAACAGAAATTATCAATTAGAAGTTGTGTTTAACTATATGCTCAAAATAAATGGCAAAGGATTCAAGGTTGAGTTACACCAATGGTGGGCACATCCTACTACGTGCTTGAGTTTTTTTGGTTTGAGTGTTATGCTTTATTCATTTATTGATATGATGACACCAGGAAAATAAAAAGGGCAAACTGACATTTTTTGCCTTGTAAGTTTTTTATTGAACTAGTTAAATTGATATCTAAGTTTTTTAGATATGGTTGGAAAATTGAAAGCATGCACTTATGGCAATGATTGAAAATTAAGTCCCACTGCTGTATTTGCTTCCCAAAGTTTTTATGTGTGAAATAAAGAATACACTTTTAAAGATTTAATGGTAAATCATTCAAAGAAAGTTGTGGATCTTATGGCTTAAATGATGAATAATCATTTTATGTATTTATTCGTATTGCTGATATTTTCCATCATTTAGGAAAACTATTGTTAGGTTTTGATTTGTTATGGTTTATTTATCTGTGCTTTATTGTCAGGGATTCCGAAAAGTACATTCTGAGCGTTGGGAGTTTGCTAATGAAGAATTTATAAAAGGTCAAAAGCATCTTCTGAAGAATATACACCGCAGGAAACCTATACACAGTCATAGTCATCCTCCGGTTTCTGTTGTGGATCCTGAAAGGGCAGCATTTGCAGAGGAACTCGATAAACTCTCGCGCGAAAAAAATTCTCTTGAATCCAATCTCTTAAACTACAAACATCATCAATCAACAACAAAGCTTCAGATGGAAGATTTTCACCATCGATTGGATGGTATAGAGAAGAGGCAGATATATTTGCTGAACTTTTTTGAGAAGGCTCTTCAGAATCCTTCTTTTGTTGATCATCTTTCGCGCAAAATTGAATCCATGGATTTAGCGGCATATAATAAGAAAAGGCGACTGCCTCAGGTTGATCATGTGCAGCCTGTTGCTGAAGGTAGCTTGGTTGACAATCATAGTAATTTTAGACTGGAATTTGGAAATGTTATCCATCAAGATTTCTCGAGCAAACTCAGACTGGAATTGTCACCAGCTGTCTCAGATATGAACCTGGTATCAGGTAGCACACAGGGTTCAAATGAAGGCGAGGAAAGCATGCAGAAGAACCTGTCTGAAGGAGAACTGAATGGAATGCAGACAAGAACTGGCCTTGCTTTTGCACCTGCAACGCTAGAGCTTGCAGATACTGGGACATCTTTTACTTTTAATATGGATTCGTGTTTATCACGAAGAGCAACAACTACCGAGAGCCCAAATCTTCACTCCCTGGAGCCAAGTAGTGAAGAAGGTGATAGTCATATATCCTGCCAACTAAATTTAACTCTGGCATCTTGTCCATTGGAATTCAACAGGAATTCATACTCGGCCAGATCACCCCAGATAGATTGTCAAGAAATTGCCGAATCAATAGTTAATGCCAATGGTAAAGAATCAGAAAACGGAGTTTCCTTAAACCGAGTTGTGGCCAACGAGGTTATCAATTTAGCTTCACCGCAGGAAGCTTCAGGTAACGGACAAGTCAAACCAGCTGCTCCACGTCGAGTGAATGACGTCTTTTGGGAACAATTCCTTACCGAAAGACCAGGCTGTTCAGACAATGAAGAGGCAATATCCAACTATCGAGCAAATCCATATGACGAGCAAGAGGAAGGGCGGTCAGTTCATAGAATCTCTAGTAACTCCAAGAACATGGATAATCTCACACTCTGAGCTTGCTGCCTTGGAGCACTTGTTAGTGGTTATAAAATGGTATGTGAGATTCTCTATTAATATCAATGACATGAAACTTGTCTATAAGTTGTTTTGTTTTGCAAGTGGGCTGAAAAACTATTTCATGTGAACATATCTTTGGTCTTTTTAGACTGAAACATGCATTGTCAATTACTTGCTGGCAGTGTTGTATATACTCGAGTTTTGAACGGTTCCTACAGGTAATGTGTATTTAAAAGTCATCCACTATGCGATTTTTGAATATATGCAAGTACTTTAAACTTGTATGTATTCAAGTTTTGAATGGTTTCTTGACTATGCGGTTTTTATTCATGTTTGCTCATATAGCTTATACAATTCTTATTCTTCGAATTTGAACTTTACACATCGAACAGGATAGAAAATTAGGAATTTGATAGTTGCCATGTCATCAATGTTAGTACCACAATACTAAAATAACTCAACGTTTGCAACAAAAATAATTGATGTGTCACTAAAAGTTTATATTTTGTATTCACCAATATACCTTCACTCTCTCTTGTGGTTCCTAACCCTTAATATTTTTTATTTTATTTTCTCATTGCAACATAGATAACAATCAACCTTTCATTTGAATGTCTATTCATGTTTTAATGTTTATTTTATGCTAAAAAAACATTCTACCTCTTCATTACCCCCATAAACGCTTTCTCTTACCAACACTTTTACTTAACTCCATTTTCAACAACCATGTATCCAAACTTTTCTCTTGCTGTCATCGTAGGGGTCTTTTCCAACTTAATCAGAGGTCTTGGATTCAAATTTAACTTTGAGCACGCAATAGTGTTAAATCTTTTGAGGGAGAACTTTAACGTCTATTATGGTCCTCCTGAGCTCGAGGGTTAGTCTCTACAATTACGCGTAGAGAATACTCTATTTATACAAAAAAAAAAAACTTTCCCCTTACTGCCATTGTGCACGGACTTGAATCCTTTTTTTCTCTTCATTCCTCTCCTTTCTCTCTACCTCTCTATTTCTCTTAGAGGAGTGGATCCAAAGTTCATTGCGCTCACATGCCAGAAAAATGTCGTTCACAATCAACTACTCATTTCACTATGTGTTGTGTACGAATATTGCACCGTCACTCCATCGACCGCCTTGTGCACGTGGTATTTGCCACGTTACAACTGCTACAATATTTGTCATGTTTTGTTACTCCTTCAAAATAGGTGACTATATCTCTTACTCCTCAGAACCTGATGAAAATTCCAATTATCTCCTGGGTGTTTCTCTGTGGTGTTTGAATAGCTCACCATTCTCTTTATCAATCTATAATATAAGACATAGATAAGAAAATTAATGACTCTGGAAAAACCATTATTGCCCCTGCCGCTAATTCTGCCACATGAACAAATTAGGATAAATTATGTTCTTTTCCGTTCATTTCTAACCAATATTTCCATTGTTCAATTGCAACTACCACTTATCACTATTGATTACATCCACAAACCAATTTATCAACTATCTTTATCTGATTTCTCTGAATCCTGTTGCCTCCAGTTTCAACTTCAACTTAACTATTTTCTCAAATTTAACCTAAATTCTCGATCCAATTTCAATTTTTCAATCTCTCAAATCAAACATTATACAATTCTGTGCTCTTTCTCATTGTTTCATTTCTAATCGAAATCCTTGTCCCAATGTTATAAGATTGCTATGATACATCCTCTTTACATATCTTTAGAACAAGTGTTTTCAGTTTCCACTCTCCCCCAAACCAACTCCCTCTTCTCCGACTCGTCCTCTTATTCAACATTAAAGGTATGTATCAATTTTTCTCTGAATTTGTCCATCATTTTGAATCATATTTTTGTCAATTTCGATCAAGCTATCATTGATTATCAAAAATAAATTTCGGTTGTTAACAACCCTTAAAAACCCTATACTTAAATATTATTCTTTTCTTCTATTTGACAACCCATTTTTTTCTTCTAATAATCAATTCTTTCATTTATCATCATGAAAAACATATTTTTGTTACCAACCCAAAATAAGCCATATTCTCCGCTGTTTTTATTTTATCTGTTAACAACCCATTATTTTTATTCATTTTTAAAAAATTCTTCACTTTATATCGAACATGTTCTCATTTGTGCTGGGATTAAAATGTCCTATTTATTTTCTTTCAAACCTAACTTTACAGTTTCCTCTTTATCTACTAATTTGTTGCATAGTTTTTTTTCTTCTTTTTTCACTATGGCAAGACTTTTTGAGAAAATCAAAGATGTGAATGACAAAAATAATTTATGAAAGTTAGATATGATATATCACACAAGTGGAGTGTCTTATAAAACAAGAAATAACATTTAGAGATATTACTCATTGATGCAGATGTATAGCATGTTTGAATTAATTTTTAGAAGATCCAGAATCAATTCTAGAAGTGTAGAATTGATTCTGAGTGATTTTGATGTGTTTGTTTTATCATAAGTATAATTGATTCAGCATTCATAATTGATTCTATTTGAAGTTAAAATTTGTAGTTTCTATCTCCATAATGGATTCTGAGTGATTTTTATACTGGAATTTAATGTTCAACTCACTTTTACATAAATGTATCCAAAACATAAATCAATTATATCAAATTCAATTCTGTTAAAATCAATTCTACCAAACTCAATTCTATTAGAATCAATTCTATTCACCGCCAATCCAAACACATCCATAAACATGGAGACTAGTCATCGGAAGGAACAGTGGAGGATCAAGGAGACTTGTTTAGCTCTCTTTGAAAAAAGCAAATCCCAGTCAAAACAAATGTTTTTTTTGTTGGCATGTTTTCCTAAACAGATTACCAACTAAAGATCAACCGAAATGGATAAGAGTACCGCCGGTACTCTATTTCAACAGTATCTTACTTTTAGAAAAAAAGAAAAAAAAACTTTTATAAAAGTACTGCTACATAAAATCAAATTTATTTATTTTTTAAATTATTTTTTTTTTTTCAATTTTTATCATATGTTTTCACCATAATTCTATCTAATTTAAAATTCAAATCTCATTTATTTTTTCTCTTGCATCTTTCTCTCTTTCATTTTTTATTTGTCTATTTATTATATGAACATTGATTATTTTGCAGGTATATGTAAAGTGTATCTCTTTATCAACCAAAAACATAAGAATACAAGTAAGTAAATAAATAAAATTAAATTTTTTTTTATCTTCCATATTCTTTTTTCATTGTTTCTTATTTAGTGATATCTTCTTTTGTACTATAGTTTTTAAATTTTTTTATTAATGGTAGAACATGTGTTGTTTTTGTAAATAATTAATGTCTATGTGTCCAAAATGATGGTATTTAAAATATATTTTATATTATTTTTTATCAACTCATGATAAAATATCAACAAAAAAATTATCTATTACATAAAGAAAAAAAAAGAAAAATACAAAAAGAACAAATGACATATGAATAATCTTAATAATATAGATACGTTTATGAATCTATGATATAATATGTAGATTGTATCTAATAAATATCTACAGAATGTGTGACAGGTTTGGTGATATATTTCTAAATGATTTTTATTTTTCTTTTACATAAATTCTTTGTTCTTATATTTTCAAATACTATAATTTTATTTTTTATTCTTATTTTAATGTATATTTTTCTGCAATTTATTATTACTTCAAGATGTAGCTTATGTTTTGGGCTATTCTATTTTAGTTTTCATCCATGTTGTACTATTTATCTTAGGGCAGAGGTTGTCTTCTTTTAGTAATCCTCTCTTTTATCTTTTTCTTTTTTTTTTAATAATCACTATCTTAATTTTTTTAATAAAATTAAAACCATGATTTTAATCTTATTTCAGGTGTATTGAATTCACATACCGATCATTGATGCTAAGCCACAACAAAGTTGCTACAACAAGAACAACAACAAGGGAAAAAAGCTCACCGAATAAATGATAGGATATCATTCCTTCAATTTTAATTTGTGTAAACTTTTCAAATTGAATTTTAGATTTTTAGATTTCAACGATAGAGATTTTTTTTTGTGTTTGTTGGAGAAGAAATGGTAAAAACTTAGATTTTTTTAGTTTGAATTTGAGTTTGTCGGAGAAGATGAAAGAATTAAGTGTGGCTGACGATGAAGAATCTGTGTTTATTTTTATTTTATTTTCTTATATTTAAGTTTCTTTTTTTTTTTGTGTTTGTTGGAGAAGAAATGGTAAAAACTTGAGTTTTTTTAATTTGAATTTGAGTTTGTTAAAGAAGATGAAGAATTAAGTGTAGTTGACGATGAAGAATCTATATTTATTTTTATTTTATTTTCTTATTTAAGTAATATACATATTTTACACCATTTTCATTTCTTTGACAGTATTTTGTTAACATCAATCCTATTATCTAGAAATTTTAAATGTCCAATGAAATTTTAGATTCAAAATTACTTCAATTTAAACTTGAATTTCTTAAGTTCTTTTTTAATATTTTAATTATTTTATTTTGAAAAGATCAAATCTCCTAATTTTAACTGAGATTTATATATTTTTAAATAAGAGTAACAATCATTATAAATAAGGAAGAAAATTTGGACTTCTTTTTTGTGGAATTTGGTTTGAAGTTAGTTAAAGAAGTTGAAGTAAGAGTGTGAAGGATAATAATTTTTTTAAATTTAAATAGAATAATTAATATTATTAATAAAATAAATAATAATTTTAAATGATATAAATATTTTTATATCAAATATAAATATTTCTTAAAATGATTAGGAGAAGTTTGAAATTTTAGTCGTGTTAGTTTGTGGGATAGAAAAAAAGAAGAATTTATTAGTTTATGAAATAGAAGAAAAAAAAGAGTAGTTGAATTTTAAAAAAAAATAGAAGAATCTTACTGTGCTTTTTACTATTCATTTTCAATCTCAAAAATTAAATTTTGTAAGTTATAATAATACGTTCCTAATAAAAAACAAACTTGATTAAACTTTTTAATATTTTTTCTATATTGTTTTTTACTAT